TAAAATTATGTCTTTATATTAAATGCATGAATGAAAAATAGAAGTTAAAACTACTCAATATTCTGGGTTTTTTTCTACTTGTCTACTTTTATAACTGTTCCGTTTGCAATGTTTTTAACTGGGAAAGAAAGATGTAACACAAACAGGAAAGGACGTTAAAAACAAGTAGCTTGCAGTTTGCAGTAATAACTTTATGGTGACAGACAAGAAAAAAAAAAGCATATGTGTGAAATGAGGCATGAAATCTAGAAAACGCTACTGTGACTCTCATAACAATGTAAAAAAAGGCATGAAAGTGCACGTGTTCACAGGATGACATACTTCATTGCGTCAAGAACTTCAAGAACCTCAGCCACCTATCTCAAAGTTATACCTCTTTCTCTGTATTCAAAATTATTTACCTACAACATGTAAAGTTGTGAAACATCCCCTGAATGAGCCAAGAGGTTACTGGTGTCAGGTAGTAATTAGAAGACACTCAGAGCGTGTGTTGCGGTATGAAACACTTCTGTGATTTTTACTTTGACCTGAGCTGGAAACCAAGATATAAAATTCACCAGGAATTAAGGATTGTAATAGCAACGCATCTCCACTTCTTAAACTTTATTCAAAGCTCCAGGGCCTTGGGAATAGGTCTGGCGTCTCAACGCTGACCCAGCGCTGGCACCACTGCCTGCAACCTCAAAGGTCATCCATCTCCTCTGGCTCCGAGAAGGGCACTTTTTCCAATGTTCTCCCCAGGGCCCTGTCTCCGCTTACCAACGCCGATGGAATTCATGCACCTGGTCCTCCGTAGTAGCTAAAGTATTCTTTCTCTTCATAAAGCCTAGCAACTCCCGGATCTCCTTCTCGAAGGAGGCCAGGAGCGGGTTTTTAGCGTCCAGCGGTCCATAAAACACCGCGAGGGGCAACGTGTCTTCAGAGCACTTGGAGCGAGGTAACAGGATCGGAGAGCTCGCCTTCGACTCCCGTGGAGACTTCGAGAGCGCTGTCGAGGTCGACATTGGGGTCGGCGGCGGTACTGGCGGTGACATGGACGTGGAAAACACGTTGGAGAGATGGACCGAGGAGGAGTCCTGCGCTGCCATATTGACGCGACCCTAGCCAGGCCTGGTGTACACGCGGTTGCCTGGCGACCGTCTCGCAGCAACCTGGAGTCCAGAGCGCTTTCCGGGAAACACAGCGGCCCCTGGAGGCCGGAAGAGAAAGGAACCAGGACCAAAAAGGACTGATGCTCTTGAGAGGTTTTTGCCCTTTGCCCCCTGACACGGCTATATCAGATGACAATAGCGAGAAAGTTCTAGACAGAGAGCTAGCGAATATTAAATTTACCATCACAAATCCAGACTATCATGATGGCTACTAATATGAGCCCAGCAATATTCTAAGCTTTGGAAACATAAAGTCTCATTTATCTCATATAATCGTCAAAATAGTTTTATTCCTTGGGATACTATTGGTACCTCAACTTCACAGTTTAAGAAATCAAAGCTTATGAGGTTAAGTCATTTGGCCGAGCTCAGAGAAAACTACCATCAGAGTCCCAGTCCTAGCCTTTGACTCCCAAACTTGTGGTAAAAATGAACAGGTATAATGACACCATAAGGAAGTTAACTAATCCAATGGAAATTGATAAGCAATTTAAAATGGGAAAGGCAGGCAGGACCACATACTCAGAATTACATTCTAATGGGGGAGACAGGAATACACCAGGAAAATAGTTGACAGGCAATTTAAGAATCAAGTACATGCCACTGATCTATTCTTCTCCCTCTGTTTATACATTGGGGTCTCTAATTGCGGGAATAATGTCTGTGCCTAATACTTATGATTACATTATATTGATTCATTTGCATTACAGCCTGATCCTATTTAACACTATATTAAAGTTATGAGCATTTTACTCAACCTTAATCATTGGACATTAATGCATGTTAATGGCTTAAAGTGTTAACTCTCCAAATGTTTTGTTTTGTTTTGTTAATTTTAAATTAGGAGATTTTATTTCTGAAGGAGAAACTATAGGCCTTAAAGGGAAGCAAGACAAAGGAAGTTTATCTTTGTGGTAGTTAAAGTTGTATGTCAACTTGTCTGGGCCTAGTTGAATGGCTGGGCAGCTGGTGGTAGTTATTCCCCATGATGAGACTGGCAATCAGCTCCATGGTGGGATCTACCACAAGCTGTTTTAGGGATGTGGTCTGCTTCCTATATACGAGCAGCTTTGGGAATGGTCTCTAGCTTATAGCATGCTTTGACCCTACATGTAGCCAAGTCGTTGTTCAGCAGCCTGCCATGCTCTGCCAGTCTTGGGACTTTCAGTGGACTTGAATTAATGGCCTGCTGTGTGGTTTGATAATACCAGGACTGTGCCTTATTACTTGTCAACCTTGGGCTTGTCAGCATCAGCAACCAGCAGCTGAGTGAAGAAAAGCCTCCAGCTTTAGTGGGCCAGGAGCAGGAGCCAAGCTGGACCCCAAGGTTGAGGGGCTTTCACACAGCCCCTAGAGCCTGGCTGGCACTTTGAACTTGAACTTAAAGCCTCCAAATTGTAAGAATAAACTCCTGTATGTTAAGGCCATCCCATTTGTGGTATCTTCTGTTAGAGTGGCACTAGATAACTGAAACAATCTTTCTCTGCATATTTTGGGCAACAGTGGAAGTTGGATTTATTCATTGAAAGCACGGGTTTCTGCCTAATGGGAACTCTGCTTTCCTTCTAAATGCAATGCCAAAGATCATCTTCTAACAGAAGGACCAGAATTATTTGATGGCTTGGAAAAATAGATCTTATAACACTTAAAACTGCTACCAGTTCTGTCACATTTCAAAATAATTACAGTGAACTTAACACCCTGTGAGTCCAATTTCCCATTTAAGATTAAGAAACATTGGACCACAAACTAATTTCTTTCAGATGAGACCTAATTTCTTGCAGGCTCTGTGGGCCTGTGCTAATTTGTGAAGCTGGCCTAATACATCATGGGTACTGTATTCTAATATTCTTTAAAGAACATGACAGTCATTTTGCTTATCAGGGCAGGTTATTATAGTCAGAAAATCTTCCTAGTAAGGAGCAAGATGCTCTGGTCTCTCACTGTAGGACATCAATTCTCCAATTAGGATGTAGAAATCACCCCTTGATCAACAGTGCTTGTATCTCATCTCCAAGTGAAAAATAAATTTAAAAAAAAATTAAAGAATTTAGACCTACAGAAATAATTCATCCTTAGGGAATTTACAGAAAATATTATAGACAACAAAAATTCTGCTTGGTAGAGTCTCTCTTTTCATCTTCCCTTTGTTCTCATGTACCTAGATGACATATCCACTTCAGATCAAAATCTCGTGTAATTTGCCACC